TGTGATGATGTGAAAGGGCTTTCAAGGCAGAGGTTAGAGCTCTAATTAAAGAGTAATAAAAAAGGCAACATTCTGACATGATTAGTCATTTGTTTGGGAATCAGACAAGAGACTGACGTGTGCTTTGAATCCCGGTGGAAGGAAAGGTCGCCGTTTGGGCCAAGAGAAACGGGATAAGGGTTGAACAGAGCGTGGGCGATCAAGGGTTGCTCCTGGGATGGCGGCAGACTCTTAAAGGACCAGACTACAGACAAACATTGACGACGGCTCATGTCGGAGTCGCCAACATCAGAGCACAGCCTTTTCCCTGAATCTCTCCCACTGTGGTGTTCCCAAAGCAAATTCAACATGGATGAGTCATGGATGAAGAAGTTAGGGAAACGGACAGAATGTCACGATGCCGAGACTTGTGATGATGGAGCATGAGAAGAGAGGGGGAGGAGGGGAATGACAGACTGACAGAGTGAACTGGCATTAGGGCAGATAAATGATTTAAATGGTGAGGTTTAGAGCAATGAACGGGTTTTAAGAAAAAGGAACAAAGGCTAAAGGCGTCTCCATCTTTTTCATGTTTTCTTATTACTTTCTCAGTTTTTTATTCTTTCTGCTACTGTTACCTTTACCCTATTATACTCTCAGAAATTAGGGTATGGTAAAAGTCAATTTCTGTCCATACAAATCCAAGGTGCATGAATTACACATCAATTAATTGTTGGGACTCCAAGCATAGCTGGACTGGCCATCGGCCGAATGGATTTTTTTTTTTTTTTTTTTTTTTTTTTTTTTTTTAGGAAGGGTATATATAATGAAAGGTGTTGGATTGGCCAATTGGTCATGATCGACTCTGGGCTGGACCAATTACAGCCGAGGAGGCCGGATGCACCCTCCCCCTTGTTTAGCAATCACGTGATTTTCGCGCATTGCATGCCGGGAACTCGTGGCAAAACAATCCAAGTACCGCATCAAATGCAAGCATTTGCAGCACCGCAAAACGTTCATTCTCCGGTTCCAATACCTTCTTGTTTTTTCTTTGCCGCACAAAAAAGGAATGTACAAAACAAAAGGAGAACAATGCCGGTCCGTACAAAGACAGACTCGACGAAAAGACAAAGAAAAGATACGAGGAAAAAATCAAAGGAGTGAAAGGGTCAGACCCTTACGAGCACACAGAGGGACAAAAGACGTTAGCGTGCTGCCCAACTTTCACCACGCTCAGATTTATAATTATACGGTTCTTGGAGTGAGTGCATACACTCATGAAGTTTAGTAACTTCAGGTCACTGCAACAAGCCCAGGTACAGTTTACCGACGGATGGGTACAGGACCTTGAAATGCACCGTGTAGAACGAAAGACCATCGTACGAACAAAGGTAAGTTTACCAGTCTCACAAATCGTCGTCATAAATACACATTCGTTAACCGTTTATTAATAGACCTTTGAGCTCAACGGTAATTAATTAGTAGTGGAAATAATTTCTGGTAGCATTACAGAAATGTAGCAGTGACAATAATATTGTATGCTGTAATCGTACTGGAGCAATTAGTGATACAAAACAACTGTTTTATCCTGTGAATAAAAGTATATGTTTTTGTCAATGTACCATAATAACAGAAGCGAAACCAATATTGTGTCAGGACAATTCACTATTTATGCACAATAAACAAAGGAGCATAGCGCGACAATTTCTGTTCAGCGCCAGACTTGCTTGTAACCTATATCACCAATTATGTTAAGAAAAATGACGTATTAACTACTACAAAACTCTGACCTTTGTGGGAATGCTTGGAGCAGACTAACATGTGAGCTGGAGTGTTCTGGGACGTTATATTTGGTATATCCAGACCATCCGTCGGCTCTTACTTCGGAAACATGGCTTAAAAAATTTCTCTTCAACGACGTAATCCGATAAAAAAAACGATCTCTTTACCCGTCGGCTTCCCGTGGCTGTCATGCGACCGGCTATTGCAGTTAATAATACAACAGCTTCTTGCCATTTTTTGGGTTTCTTTTTATCGCTGTGTAACTGAGTTCAATTGAAAGCCTGCGTGCGCTAGTACCTCTTGCCACAAGTTCCCAGAATCCTTTGCGGTTTTACCCCTGAATGACGTCACATTTTCAATCTTTATCCTGGTGGGCCGGTCTCTAGTCAAAATGCCCGGGCCGATTTTTTGTCCCAGTCCAGCCTTGACTCCAAGCTAACTAACTATGAGCACATTTCCGAAAGCCAGTGTCCCCAGATAGAAATGGTGTAGTCTTTCACTTTTACATCTCAAGATGCAATATTTTATTGCTCTGTTTATTTTGGGTAAATTAAAAGCATATACGCATACACTGAAAAAAGGACACGGGCCATCTCTTGGATTTATGTAAGCATCTTAGGTGTATTTAACGGAATTGCTTTATGGTTTAAAGTTAAGTGTTAATTTAACTCAATTGTTCAATTTGCTCCCAAAGCAAAACATCTGTGTGCAACCAACATCTATATTGAATTACGTAATTCCAACATGTTCTTTTCTTCAATGCATATTCCTTTGCTTCCACTGTGTTGAGCTGATATACAGTGGCTAACAAATTTATTAAACCACCACCCAGTATAAGGTTTATGCCAGAGCTGCCCTAAACAGTACTAATAATTAAAATAAATGCATTTTTACAAAGTTTCTATAGTAAATAATCCACCAATATACACATACTCTTTCATCAAAATTATATTGTTAATAATGCACATCAATGTTCTTTGATTAAAATACCCATGTGCAGTTATTTACTTGCATCTTGAATGTTAAGCTTCTCAGAGAAGTCTAGTGTACCAGCTCACATTTGGATATAAAATCATGATTTGTTAGTTGCATAATAGATAATATCAGGTTTTGGCAGATTTCAACTAAATTATGTTTTATTGTTTCTAAAAAGATCTAATAAGGCAATCTAATACATTTGTTGCTTTGTAAGATGAAAGGTCCACTTTGTGCATTTACATTAAGTTTCGCAGTTTATGTCTGCAAGACACAAACTGCAAAGTAAATATCAAGGGTCTAAAGTATAATGGTGGTTCATTAAGGGGTACTTTCCCAGTCCCAAAAAAACTGTTCCCCTAGAAATAAAACAAAAGAAAAAAAGTGTCTGTTTATTTAGTGACAGTGTACATGCACATTGATGGAGATGTTAAATAAGCATTTTGGAAGATAGTGTCAGATTACCACTGAATAAAACTGTCCCCCCCCCAACAATGCACGTCAGGGTTATTTTTATGACAAAAGCGTCAACAGAAGAAATACAAAACCCCAAAACAATGTACAACACTTTTCCAATTATTATGTGACTTACAATACTAATGAAAAAGAATAAAAACACAATAAATACTATGTAAATTAAATAGGTAAACTCTTGTAATTGAACATGATCTTTATTTTTGGTCTGAAACTACACAAATCATAAAAATAATAGCTGCAAACCTTTCAGCTCAAAGCTGACAATTACCTTTTAGCGTCTATTAATCTTTTATTTATGAAGGCCAGGAAACCACACCATATACAATAAGTAAACTTTGTGGAATGTGTGCCTTAACAGGGAAAAATGGGGAATGTGTGCATAAATTTCATATTATTATAGAAATACAAAGATATCACAAGAACTTACATATTTCCTCAAATAGTAATAGTATGTAGTGCAGTTTTACAAGATGCACATGTCACATAAAATTATTTAGTCATGAAAGCAGCCCCAAAGAGCGCAAAGACAATTAAACAATGAAACAATTACATTTTTTAATTTGTCATGTTCCTTGGGTTCTTTTTTCCTTTGACTGTTTTTGGCTATTTTGTATTCGACTTTTGATTATCTCCTGTTATTTACTTATTTATTGTTTTACGTTTTAACTTTGAAGGATAGTTTTCTTTGATAGTTTGCATTAAAGGCTTGCCTATTGCTTAATATTCAGTCTGCAGTGTCCTGCATTTGGATCATCTCTCTTACCCATATGGAAAAATGTTGTATTCCATAGTCCTTCATAGACGATAAATGGCCTGCACTTCACATTAACCCTTTATATTAACCTACCACCTGAGCCACAGCTGCCCAAAAGCTACAGGAGTGTTGTTGCACTGATGCATTGACAAAGCAGAGGTTAGAAAAAAGTTTAAACTCTGTGACAGCAGGTGTATACAAAAATTATTCAGGTAAGTGCACTTATAATTGTACTAATTTAGCAGTATCCATAACATGATTTGCTTAGTGCTCTGGTGTGATGAGCCAAAGACACTGAACATGCTGGCACACTGAGTCATAAGTGAAACCATAACCTTGTGCAAAGGTTTTATCAGATTTGGCAGAGTTCTGCTGACCAATGGCTCAACGAATTCATTTACATACATCTGCTTCAAAATAACTTCAGATATGCCTTGTAGGAATAAAGAAGACACACTTCTCTCACCATCAGCCTCCCCATTTAAACTAAATTTAGTACTAAACCAATGCTATCTTACAAGCTGTTACATTATTGGTGTTGGTTCATGCTTCAGACAGTTGGAACTTTGAAGCTTTACATTTTGTCAAATGTGAGTCAGAATAATCGAATGTTATTTCAGATTTATTAACTGATTAAGCAGCCCTCCACAACTGTCCCATTTTCTCTTGGGAAAACGAATTGTCCACCCCTGGATGCTAAGAGGTCAATAAAGGGTTAGGTGGTTAATTTTCTCATGGATCAAATGGAAAAAGTAGGGCTGCTGCAAAGGGCTGGACCAGTAAAAGATGGATACAATTAATGCTTTAAATTAACTTACCACTTGAGCCACAGCTGCCTAAAGAATATAGCCAATTGCATGTTCGAATATATGAATTCCCACATCATACTAGACAAACTTAATAAGAATCTTGTATCTAGTTGTAACATGTATTATTTGCAAGCTTCATTTGAAAGATATATACATTTAGTTAAGGAAAAAACAAAAAAAACAACAACATTTGTTTCCTACAAGCACTTAACACACATCCTTACCTTGAGAGTGTCAAAGCCTTCCTCCAGATAAGTCGCGCACTTGTTTTTCTCTCCAGTCGATGCGTAGAACTTACTCCACCAGTCCATAATCTCTTCTCCCTGTTGGTCACACAATCAGATGTCAGAGTTTGGAAGGTTGAATAGGAGGTGCTGAATATAAATAAGGCTGTGTTGTTTGGTAAAACCCAAATGATACTTTTGAATCATTCAGGTTTGCTCTGCATGCAGTCTTATGGCTTGCGTAATATTATTTAAAAAAATATTTGTGTTGGTTTGACTTCATGTTTGCATTACTTTCTTGCTGCTTCATTTACCTGACGAGTCAAACTAAAAATAAATAAATAAATACTTGAAAGGTCATTTCCAATTCCACCAAATTGTCTGTGGCTACTGAAAGTGATTTTTGTGTCGTTTATGGGCTGTGTTTGTTTGATATCTGAACTTCTTCTGAAGAACCTTTGACCTTTCAAACCTGTTCAAAGTCCTGCAGTGAGTGCTATTTGACTTTGTAGAGCACTGCAGCGCTTTTCATGATTTTTCCAATGATCGCATGGCAACATCGAGTTAGCCAAGTTACGTCAACACAAGTAAAAATTGTCTCTGGTGACTCCATGGCATTAAGGTCATGGTATATGGGCGTTCTGAGGCAATGGAAACGGGCAACACTGGGATGGGAACTGGCACAAGGTGGACAAAAATCAACATGGACATAAGAAGAACCGAGTTATGCCAAAAGAGTCCAAAAATGTATATTTATTCATGAAGAAATTAATTATTCTGCTACCTTGCTCCAAGCTGTTTTTCACCACGTCTCTCTATAACCTAGTAATATTCTTCAGGAACAAAAAATACTTGGTGCTTTCATTGTCTTTTTTGGGTGTTTTATGCTGATCAGACAAGGCCAGATGTAGTGAAAATGTGAAAATGTTAACTACCTTCCCGAAAACACAAACTCACTGAGGCTGGACTGAAGTTATCTACCGAGAGATTGGCTGGTGTAGTTCATGTGATTAAGGGAGTATGAAAGAGGTCAGACTAAGAATCCAAGGAATCCAAGTTTGTAATTTGTGCGCAACCCTAAATTTAACATACCCCTGCTTAAATTTAATACCATTTAAAGTTCTGACAAAAAAACCCATAATCTAAAAAAGGTTTTTTAGTGTTAGAAGCAAAATGTCTCTTAATTTGTTTTCTCCAAACGCATTACTTCTCAGTCTCTGGAAAACATTGATTGCTTTGATTTTATTGTTTCCTAAGTATTTCTTTCTTTTTTGGAGCCAATCTCCACCTGAAACTGGGACTGTTGTGTAGGGCTGCACCAATAACACAGAGGTCAAATGAATATTAAGCAAAACTGAGTTCAGTTTATTGGTGTGGTCCTCCACAACAGTCCTTGGCTCTTACGAGGTGAGAAACTGGGATGGTTGTGAAGAACCGCAACAGTAAGCTTATAAAGAAATAAAATTAATACGGAGTAATATTGAGCTCATCCTATTGATGCGGCCCGCCACAATAGTCCCACTTTATAAAGATAGAAAGTTAATACTAAGCAGAATGGAGTTGTTGAACTAAATTAAGCTGATCTCACTTTTGCTTAATATACATTTTTAAGCTTATTGGTGTGGCCCTCCACAACAGTCCCAGTTTCTCATGTAGCCTGCTGGGAAAATTAATTTTCCACCCTGAGTTAACAGATGGGGCAAATGCATGCAAGTGCAAAAGTTACCAGAATGAGATGCATTTACACATATTGCACTGCCAACATAATTTCACACCAGATGGGTGTCAAACACTGGAGCTCCATCATGATGCACAAGGGTTTTGGGTGCAGTTGGGCATATAGTTTCCCTTTTAAAAGGTCCACATTAAATGTTTTTTAAGTGCAATAAATCACTGGTGTAATAAATCACAGTGTTACATTTCGTGCTTTGCTTCACCTAATTTTAATTTCTGCTGTTAGTTTGGCTTACAAAAGCTACTCGGTTGGGTTTGGGAAAAGATTGTGTTTTGGTTTGACAAAATTAACCCTGCAGCTAAAAAAAAAAAAAAAAAAAAAGAAAAAAAAAGCCTACCAATTTAAATGTGACACCAAAGGCCCTTACAATCATCAATAACCCGTTGCATCATGGCACAGATGCCAAAAGAACAGCAGCATCTGATGCTGGGGGATTATAATGCACTGGTAGTGCATAATGTGTGAAAGATTTCAGTGGTTTTGGCAAAACCACACCATCTCACACCCTTTGAATGGCATTTTTTATAAGTCGGTGCGCTCCAAAACTTACCCACTGTAACATCTAGTGTCAGCGTTAACAACAAAAGACAGGTCAGAGAGAAATTTAATTTCACCATAGACTGCACGATCACTCAGTGCAGACGCACAAATGCTGACAGAATTGTAACCACGCATTAAAGTAGAGGGATTAAACACATTTTAAGGAGCTTTTCAACACATTTCTTAATACTTATTCTCATAGCACATTAGGGGTTTCAATCCAAAATGAAACATACACCATATAAAAAAAAAAAAGTAGAAGAAGAAATAAATCCCGCTATTACAAAATGACTGCTGGCATTAAATCAAAGGCTGTTAAAGCCTTACTATTACAGCTATGAGTCATCCTGCGCTCACAATGTCGTTCTGTTTTGGAGGGTAAAATATATATCTTTGTTTTTGAAATCTTGACTGATGGCTTTTTGAGGTTTGGATTCATTTTGATTTATACGATGTGATTTTTGGGGAAATATGTGACATCTCGGAAAGAAACCCTGTTTCATGTGTTTTATCAAGACTTCCATTTTCTCAAGCGTGAAGCTGCCTCATCCATCAAATTTACTAAAAGTCTGCTCACATTGGCAACGCCGACCGCAGAGCTACTTAAAAGCTCATTTTTGATTATTTTCTCACAGAAGCGAAAAGTCTGTCCATCTCACTGTGTGTGTGTGCGTGATGGCAAGCTGCTGGCTGCTCACAACAAGGAAACAGCGACCACAAAAATTGAGAATACAGTGGGGACAGATCAACCTACAGTGTGTATCTTCACACACATACAAAAACACACATTTCATCCCCGCCCTGCAACCTTCAACCCTCTGAGGAACACTCCAGAAACACAGTTGTGACGCATGCGCCACTTTTTCCTGTGTGTGTGTGTGTGTGTGTGTGTGTGTGTGTGTGTGTGTGTGTGTGTGTAAAGGCATAAATGTTGAACAAAAGTGCTCTTATGGCACTGGGTTTGTGTGGAATCCCCTTTCTCCTACTTCCCACAAACTCTGAGACAGAAACACACACATGCACACAGGAGAAGTAGGGGGACTATGGAATTCCTAATTTTTCCAAAGTGGCAGCATGGCATGGAAAAGGTCAGCACGTGGCGTTTAACTAGGACATGACACACACACACACACACATGCACGGTGCCCTGTGTCTGAGGCGTGAAGTGTCTGCTGTGTGTTTATGTGCCCTCTGTGTGCTGCTGGTGCCAAGCATTGATGACCAGGGCGCCAGAAAGTGAGTGTGTGTGTGTCCACGACTCCTGATTCAGACAGATTAAGGCCGCCGGTGGAGTGTTCCAGACTCTGTACTAAGTATACACTCTGGAGATCGAACACACACACACACACACACTGCCTGTAGTGGTCTGGTCAGGGTGTCGGTGTGGTTTGCAGCCTATCATTATGCCCTGTGGGGAAAGCCAGCCTAACCAAACCAGACTGGCACTGCCAAGAACTCTACGAGCAGAGCGAGTGCATTTACATAAGAGTTCATAAGAGCACCAAGTTGCTTCATAAAAGCTTTTTTTGTGGGGAAACCCCATCCACAACAGAGTCAGAGGTCACAGGTGGGGCTGGAAGAGGCTTCCTTTAAAGTTCACACACATAAAGAGCCAAATCTGACAGAGCGTTTAGGAGCTTTTTGTTGCCTTGTAATGTCAAAAACATACACATTTATCACGAGGGAGCTGCTCTCTAACAAGAAAAGAAAAGTGTTTTTAGATGAATTATAATCTGTGATAAGTTCCAGCATGCCAAAGTTCCAACAGCATGAATTGTGACCTTACATAATCGACGACATCAGGAGCCTCCCAAAAAGCTGCAATTCACCCGGTGAATCATCTGTGGAGGTTACTCTGTGGAACCGTAGACTGTGAATAAAAGATGGACTTTGCCACCATGACATCATTGCTTGGTTTGCCTAAATGTTAGCATTTTGGCCACTACCACCACCTGCTACTTTTAGAGCCAGAAGTGAGCATATTTGGACACAAGGTGGAGGTCTAAAAGGATCTGCTAACACTAACAAGCTCGGTTGGCAAGCACTTATTACACCAAATACATGCTAATTATTCCTGAGAAACACAAAAGTAACTAAACCTTTACTTATCAAAACTGTAATGCACATTTCTTAGACTAACTGTACAGCTAGTACATCTTTTGTCAGATAACTGCATTAAAAAAAGAAGTTTGTGCTTCAGTTTTGATCTGTAAAACATGTTGTGCGTTCCTACTTTGTAGTAATTATTTGTGTGTGGGTGTGTGCGTTTGATGAACCAGCACAGTCCATGAAAGCAGTTTGTTTGGAGTAGCTGATAACTTAGCGGTCCAGATGATGACCTGGATGACTGAGAACTTTCACACTAATTAAGCTTAGTTTTCAGCTATAGATGCTGCTTGGTTGGATATGTTGGCTCACTTTGGTGGTGTGCAGCATACCCGGGAAACCGTGCAGTGTCCTCTAATTTTATGCCAAAAACGTACTGTATGGTCCATTTCAACCAATCCGGCAACGTTGACTTCAAAGCACCCGAATCAAAAACTTTTCCTACTCAAAGATCGGTTGTCTACTGGAGAATTTTCTGAAGCAGCAAGCCATTCTGCCAAAAACTCAAATTTTCTTTGACCTCATTCCATACCTCTAAAATAAACTGGTCAGTGTGAAGAAAGTGGAAAAACTATGTTGGCTTCTTAGGCACAACTGTTTGCATGTATTTGTCATTTGCTCCACTGCGGTTTCAAGGCAGAACAGCAAACCTCAAGTAAAAATCTGTGGCATTTGCACATAAATGAATGTCTTCTTTGCTATCATTGATTGATATTACACAGGGCTGACTCAATCTACAGCATGTCCAGTTTCTGAAAGCTTTTTTCATATGCTGTTCTAAACTCATACCGCCGACTAGCCCATTTATCTGAAAAGCCAATCTGATATGCAGAAAACAATTTGTTCTCACATTCTCCCCAATTTAAAAGAACCTCAGAAGCCTCAAAAAGCGACACAGGTTTTGAAAATAACAAACTTTCTTGCATTTGCTACTGACTGTTTGAGCAAGCTGTGGCTGCTAGTAAACAGTCCATGCTATATGTAACACCAAAGACAATTGGGAATCATATATGGAGGACTAGCAAACATTAACTGACAGAATAGGAAGTCATGGACACTGATTCAGCCCACTGGGTTGAGAAGGTAACCCATATAGGCCTGGGTTCGAATCTGCCCTGAGGCCAGTAACTGTGCGTCTTACCCCTCATCCTGGCTTTCCTGGTATCTCTCCACTGTCCTGTTAAATAAAGGTTAACAAGTATAAAAAAAAAAGAACAGATAGCCTTAACCCTGATGCCCTAACGACCTAAATGTTGACTGTTGGCCTCAGATGCCAAGTCGGATAGGCTCTCTATAATGTGGGAAGCATCTGTGTCTGCATCTTTAGCTGCTAAATGGTCCGCTATGGTCACCAGCTACAGTAAACAATGTCCTTCTACTGTCAGCGAGATGTTGAGTGAATCAGGCTTTTCACAGGAGCTTTTTGAAAGTCTGTCTGATATCTGAAAGTTCAAACACTAACTTGCGACTAATGATAGACTTAAAAGTACACCAGTGCCATCTTTAAAAGCACAGACACATCTGGATGATGGTCTGGGCAACAAATATGTGCAGCGCTCAGATTCTGGAGTTGAACAGCAGCTTACATCAGCCTGTGGCTGAAATTAGCAGAACAAGAAAAACAATAATGATTTACTAAGCTATTTTGACATCTTGTTTCTGGTTACAGTGTCATTATAGGGCCATAAATGTGTGTTTCACAAACCCCCAAAAATGCCACAAAGTCGCCTGGCACAAAGCCATGTCAGTTAGTTTCTCTGGATCCAAAGCAGCCAGGAAGGATTTATGGAAGTTGAGGTAAACTGCAACATTTTCAGAGCAGGATTTTTAACCAAAACTGACTGCTTTTTGGAGAAGAAGTGGAATAATTCTAATAAGAATTAATGGCAGAGGTACAACGATAGAAAAAGCAGACACAAAAACCAGATTATAGTGACCTGACAGATTTTTGAAATCCAGTTTCCTTATGGAAATGAGAAAACACAGAGGTTGGTTTGAACCACGATATATACTGTCATCGTGCACGCATTCTGCCGATGAGACGTGACATATAATGTTCATTTTCCATCTGAGCGACGTTAGATCTCAGATATCACGAAAGGGGGGCTGGAGCCTCCGAGCTTTGAGGAGCCATGACGCTCCTGACAGCCGATCTTCTTAAACTTTTCCAACTCTGAAACTAAATCTGACTGATCTGCTTTGGAAGCGGCTCTGCTGAGCGCACACTCTGCTGCAGTAATCTGGTAATCATCAGACATACGCGCATGACCTGTTCTTTTGGTTGCGACCCAGAGATTAAGGATGCCAGGATTTACGGCACATGAGAGAGCATGCTTTCTTTCTCTGGTGCCGTGAGATATTAGCCGCCTCTTTTTGCTCCTTTAGTTGAAACTTTTCTGATTCGTTTCATTCTCTCTGCTTCTTTTAGTTACTTTCTCCCTCTCTCATTCATCCATCCCTCCTCTGTCTTTTAGTAAGAGCTCACAGAGAGTTGTGGTATAGAGGATCTATAAGCAGCTCTGTTGACTTTGGCCATGGCCAGACAGAAAACTGAGCTTTTAATTTGACTGCTTTAAATATCTGACCCTTAATAAAACAAATATCTTTGTTTGGAGAGGAAGAAATCCCCCCACCCCACCCCCCCATTCGAGCAAGAAAGGAAAGAGCACTACTGGATGTGTATGTTTGTGTGCTCAGGCTGGTCCGGGTCATGCTTAGTCTTCAAACTGACCTGGCTTAGATAAATAAAATAGAAGAATGTAACAAGCAGCGGAGCCCCCCCCCCAAGTTCAAATGTGGGATTAGATTTCCTGTGTAACCGCACAGCTCGGTGTGTCGCTCTGTAAAATCTGGCTTTCTCAAGTAGGATGCATTTTTTTGACACAAGACCAGCAAAGCAGCAAGTCTCCCGTTTCATCCTGGCAGCAGGAAAAAAGCCCCACTTTTATCTAATTCCAGATCGGCCCTCATCTGTCTGCACTCAGTGTTATTCAACACTGTCTTACTTCAAATAAACTTCATCGATAGATAGCAAAACTAAAACTGTGCTACTGTCTACACACTGTGACCTGGCATCACCTGAAACATTGTTTATTAGTTTTAGATTTTGACTGCCTTTTTACTAATTAATGTGTGTGTGTTTTTTTTTACTTAGAGGTGGAAAAAAATTCCCACAGACTGTTTTGGACCCCATCCATTTATAGGGTCTTTTCAGCCCCGTTTTTGGGGTATAATAGGCAGGTAGGTGCTTCTAAGTAGTGCTGAAAAACAGCTGGTTGGAAGTGAGGGCTCACATTCACACCTATTGCCAGATAAGAACCACTGGGCCACAGGCATAAGGACTTGTCAGCAATCCCCTGGCAACTAGTCTCTGACTGGTTGGTGAGTGCTTGCTGGCTGTTACTGAGCCTGTGTGAGTAGGAACCTAACCTGGAGTACCCAGAGAAATACGCAGGCAATGGAGGAACATGCAAACTCCACATGAAAAGGCCTCATTATTGCAGGCACATGCTACTATAGTTTGTTGGTGCAGTAATAAGTAATGAATGTCACTGCAAAAAACCAAAAACAAAACCAAACTCAGGTTTTGAATCCGAGGTGTCAGACATAAAGAGAAACCTTTTTCCAGACATATTTTCACTGACCTGAAAGAGCAGCATTTCACATTAGATGTTTGTTTGTTTTGTTTTTTTTTCAGAATCATAACAAAAAATAATTTCCCCCAGGGATTAATAAAGTATTCTGATTCTGATTCTGATTCTGATTTTTACCCAAATTCCAGCATTGTATTTTGAGAGCATATTAAACATATTTTCAACAAGTTTTTGCTGAGTGGCAAAGACCTTCTTCAAGAAAAGATAAAACACTTGATATCCATTAGAGAAACAAATGAATAAAATAGAGTTACATACAGTAACTTGAATTTAAATGTAAACTTTGGGAGTTTTTTTTTTTGAAAGCCATTTTCATTTTATAGCAGCTTTTTCCTTGTGGACTCCTAACAACATCCACTGTATGAATTTTATCAACAGTTGCAACCTCGCTAACATCTTGAGTTGTAACAGACTTGTCTCATGGTGCATGTGGTGCACAAATGAGCCAAATGATAAGAAGGGAGACCGAACATTTGGCTCAATGCTGTGTTCAATATAAGAGCGACATCAGTTTCCACTAGTATCCTCCGCCTGGCGACTACTGTAAAAATTTCCTGGCTCTGGTGTAGACCTTTTTAAAAAATCTAGACAGTCTGTTGCCAATATGAGCAGATTTGCAGTAAGTATCCACTATTCTTTAGTATGTGAAAAAAAAGACAAGTGGGAGGCTGGGAGGCATGATGTATGGATGGATGATGAAAAAAACAAGTGCAATGAAAAGTAAATGCAAAGCATGACTGACATTCTTGTTCAATGAATGAAATGAATGACAAGATGAGTTTGTTACCTACATGAAGGCTGGAACTAGAGGTTGAAAGGTTAATGATAGCAGAACTGGTTCCATCCGCAAGCTACAACACATATATACACACACAGAAACACACACTTTCAGGTTAGTTTGTTAGAGTTAGCTTCAATATTTGCAACATATCTCAATGATGAATCATAAAAGACAATTTGAAAGTGTTAATCACTCAAAAAGAAAGAACATGATATTAGAAATATACATGAAAATTACAACATTAGACACTGTTAGACATTATCTACTAACATTTGAAGGGACATCAGCGACTCAAACACAGAAACATCACTGTCACCATCGTGGGTTCTAAACATGAACTGCGTGTGTAATTGTGTTATTTCCCTGGAAGGTCCCACTATGGAAGAAATGCAGATACCCAGGTCTAAGTCACCACTGTAGATGACCACAGCCCTAACCCCAACTCTAACCCAAGGCAATCAGAATATGCCTTTTTTTCTCCATGATATTGGTAAAATACAGAAGCAATAAATCTGTTTTATCTTCCACCAAAATACACATTAGAGAAGGATTGGGGCTAGGGTTAGTAACGGCCTTATACTTCAGAGAATTTACTCTGATGGACTGTGACAGAACCTAGATTAGGAGGACAAAGAGCCAGATTTACTAAACATGAGTGATTTACAACAGCTGAGCTGTTTTTATTTCATCGCACAGTTAGTTAATTTCAAAATCAAACATAAAAAACACACCTTTTTTTCTGTATTAAATATCATACCATGCATCATATCATGCATAATTAGCAGTAAATTATGTGTCGCAGATGCTAGTAAATCAGTTTGAGAGTCTTTATAAAAACAAACAGTATTTTTTCTTTTACACCACTGTATAATTGTACAGTGCTATATAAACACAACTCACATGAATTTAAAGGCCAGTTTGCATTCGCACCACTCATAAGTAAATCTGGCCTCAAGTGTTTAGACAAAGTTAGAGATCAGCTGAGAACAGAGAAGGATAGAACAAAGATAGGATGGGAAAATCTGAATGCAATTATTGTATTTTTGTGCCGTCATCACCTTGCAGTGGTAGACTTTATATTAAAAAAATGTATGGACATAACTTGTAGATATTTGTAACAATAGAACCTTCAGAAAAAAACTCCTAATGACTTTATGACCTCTTACATTGGTCTGAACTCTTACTATAATTTAATTTACTTTATAGTCCAATAATAGTTATAAATCAGGATGAAAGCATCGTTTATGTTAGGTTGGGCCAACCTTGTTATTTACATGTCAGTACTCAATAAGCATGCAGTGACCTTGTTTTCACAGTCAGATCCCCACGTCCTGACAGTTCCTCGACAGTCCTTGGAGCACCTCTGCCAGGTCTAAGGGGTAAATACTGATGCCTTTATAACCAAAAGCCTGAGTAGCAAAACGGGTGGAAAGTAGGTTTGTGCTCACGGAAGATGATGCAGGTAACCGACGATGGTCAGAATGACGGCCAAAAGTTAACAAATCGTGTTAAATAGTGATATTTGGCTTGTTTCCCAACTGATTATTGTACGATTCCTATTAAAGAGAATCTATCTCACTACTGTGCGATCTCTTGTAAAAAGGATGCTTGTGCACGTGCAGATCCAACTTTTTGTTTAACCAGGTTTTATGTTTGTCATTTTACTGCTGAGTTTTTGACTGCGAAGTACAGGGAAGAGCAGCGTAGAGAGAGAGACTGAAAAACTTAGATGAACTATAGGCCGAAAGAGAAAAAGATTTTACTAAATATGGAAATGGAAAATGAAGACTATGTCTGTCTCTCTTTGTGTCTCCAGGATTACTGCTGCTGGTGAAACAGTATGTATTATGGAAGTGGATAGTGTCCCAGACTTTGGAGAAAATCGTCCAGCCCTAGTAATAGTAGTAAACCCTAGTGAATTTTCAAACATGTGTAATGATTTCAAATTGGAAAACAGAGTATCAGTATTTGTTTGGTTGGAGCAATCTGAACTAATAGCAATAATTCACGAAAAAAAATGCAGCTCTTAAATGCTAAACTTCTTTAAAAATCAGAACAAAGTTAAATGGTTTTCAACCCATGTTTAACCAAGGTTACATGCAACCTGATCTCAGTGAATAATGTGAAGTGACCACAGCCTCCTCAAAATGCATTATGTGGTGATGGCACACAAGGCACCAAGAAAACAATGCCAATGGAAAGTCAATAAGGAGTTTGGTTGTGGTGGGTGGACAAATTCCCTGGCAATGATGTTGCCGCAAAAGCTGACGACCCATCCAGAAGTGGGTGTGAGTGTGATGGTAGCTTGAATTACACAAAATTCTCACATAAGGGAGTGGAGTCATTATGAATTGCTGTGGACATCACTGTCCACTAAACTGTGGACAGCGATGTCCTTGTAGTACTATAAATAAATTAGTTATCTATAGTTCCAATATTCAAGTATCCAATTGGACACTTGATTCGATTTGACTACAACTGGTTGCCACATGTCTCTGCTGACTTTGACTTTCATGAAGAAACCTCAGCGTTTAATCATTTTATTTTGCACAAGCTGTGAACTGATCACCATCCCACTTTTATTCTTTAAAAGTTTGCAATCTTCAAGTTAAGAAGAAACAGATGAAGCTCCACAAAGATTGATTATCAAAGACCAATTTAATTAAACAAGTTAGCTGTGCGCCAAGTTTGGGCTTTTTGCATTTTTTTTTTTAAAGTGCAACAAAGAATTTCAGCAGTACAAAGAATCCGCTGAAACAAAGCTGCTTGTTGCTGATCAAATGTCACACTTTGCTCCATTAATTTACAACTTCTAACTCATCGCCCGGTCTGAATCTGCAAATTGGGTTGACAAGAGTGCAGATTTTCTTTTTTCTTTTTAAGCTGTCACTGCAAATTTATCATCCAGTTGCGTGACTGTTATTGTACCCACACAAAGCTGTTCTGATGATGAACTGCACATTTTAATTGGATAAGGGTGTTAATGTCAGGGAGTGTACACTGATTTCAACACCCGCAGACGCACTAATTAACCTCGCTTATTTAGCTCATGTTGTACATATTTTTTTGAACTCCCATGTCACTAAACATTTACCGCTGCCCTCCCCCCTCAAACACAACAAGGCAATTGAGGTTTTGCATCAGTGCAAGAGAATGGAAAAATGGTCAGTGTTGTAAGAATGAGGTAACAGCAATATATTAGAGACAGTCCCATGATGTCTCCTTATGTTAAATAGTGCACGTATTTGTGTGTATGTGTTTTCCTTATGATGTAAATGCATAAAGCACGTCTCCATAATGTTGATCATTCAGTTTTAACATGAAGTTTTGGTAGGTTTAGTCAAGGGTTTAATTATCATTTAGATAAATTAAAGTCAATGTAATGTCCTCTAAGTGACAGAAACACAAATGTGTGTGTGTGTGTGGTGTGTGTGTGTGTGTGCGTGTGCGCGTCTGTGTGCGTGTCTTTGTGGCGCCTGTGGGTTAAGGGATACCAAGGAGGGCCGCACAGAGAAATTAAAAAAGGGAAAAATTCCAGCAGGCATTTCAAGATGATGAAAGGATCAGTGAGGGGATGATTGGCTGATGAACCACAACAATGAAGCGAGAGAGAGGAAACGGAGGAGGATAACATGAGGATTCCCCCTAATGAGCTGCCACATTAAAACAGCTGCCAGCTTGATCGATAGAGAAGGGAAGAAGGAATGAGAAAATGAATTAAAAGGGTAAAGAGGGGAAGGCAAAAGACGGATGGAGAGAGAGAGTGTGAGAAAAACTGGGTTGACTGGAGAAGGAAAATAAAAAACAGAGGTGAAGCAAGCTTGAAAAACAGAAAGATGGAGAACAATAAAATGGAGAGATGAAAGGATTACTGAATAGATGAAAACTGCGCAAAAGAAAGTATGGCTAAAGTGAAGATAACAAGAATGGCGATAAATAGAGATAGTAAAGTAAGGAAATTAGAAGGGAAAGGGCAGAGGGATGTAAGGAATGGAAGGATACATAATGAGTGAAAATAAGGACAGAAGAAGAGATGGAGCAAAGGAGGTTTTACTGGGAAAAGGGTGACAGAAAAGGGAATAGAGTTAAGTAAATTTTATGTAACAAGGAAAAGAAGCAAGGAAGGAAGGCAGAAGAAAAACATAATTTGGTAAAAGCTAAAAAGAGCCAGGAAACTGAGCAGAAAAGAAGGAACAACAACTGATAAATAAAAGGAAGAAGTTAGTTAGACGGCAACAAAAAACAGATTTAGAGAGTGCATCTAAAACAAGGTAAAAGGCCACTGAGACATCAGCTACTACCTTGTGGGCCAATGGTCATTATGCTAAAAGGCAGCAGCAGCACAAACGCAATTAAGTTATCAAGTTCAGTGAGTGTTATTAGTCAGCTGTGTTGGCACATCTACCAATCAAACTGGCGGTGTTCCTAACTTTAAGCCCCAGTTTGGCACAAGTTTTATCTGTCGGACAGATGGCCCCACATTCGAGTCTAGAATACTTTGGTATATAGAGAAGTTCGTGGTCGACACAGTCAATACATGGTGCCCAGGTCCTGTACCTAGAAAACAATCCACAATGCTCAGGCCTCCACTGCTGTGCCTGAAATTTAGTTTTCTTGAAATGTGGTGCCGTGGATTATGGACACCACTTTTGCCATGTCTTTACACAATGTTCCAAGAAGCAAATTGGCAAAGCAAGGCCATATGCCAATAGTTGTTTTTTGTTTGTTTGTTTTTTAGAGGGAAGAGGCTTTGTCTTGGCAACCCTTGCAAATCAACCAATTGCATTTGAGAAGCAGCATCTGTCTGTAATTTGTCCTTTTAAATCCTATGGAAGCAGTAAGGGTGTAGGTAGTACAGACTTTATGGACTTCATAGAGTCCTATAAAATCATTCTTTTTCATATGACTGGGCATTTCTCCTATTAAGTTGGTCATTTTACCCTGGGAGTCCATGAGGGGTAGTTCACTTCTCGAGGAAGTCCAAAGTGGCTACTTGAGGAACTGCAGTTTTTGGCAATTAAGCATCCATTTTTCAGCACTGGATATTTTTGCAAAGAAGGAAAGTGGCAGGAAGTGATATAAAAGCAGTGTGGGGAAAAGCTGAATGTAAAGAATGAAAAGAAGCAAATAATCGTTTTATTGTGCAGAGGAGAGAGAAGAGGGAGAACAATAGACAGAAGCAAAGGAGGAAGACCAAGGGTCTTCAAATAAAATGACTGACAGCTGATGACAGCAGAGAGGGGAAACTGAGGAGAAGAAAAGAAGAAGTCATAGACATCAGCAAGAAGGTGCAGGGCTCCAAAACAGAAGTCTTGAATTGTTTTACTCTCACAGAGGAGGCTGACAGAAATCACGAGCTTGGAATTCTTTCCAGAAAACTCACAAGTCCTCTGCAGATTCACTGTCTTCAAAAGTTACTTCAGTATTCTCAAAGGGGCCAATCCAGTGGTTTTCCATGTTGTAGCCCATTAACTTCAAATCCTGCACACTTAAACATTACTGCAGAACATTTTCCAAGGCCTGCCACACTGTCTTTAGTGATTTCTGAACAGGCAACCATTGGTTTTGCATAATTACAGTTCAGAGCAAATACCAACCAGCAGAGACAACTCGTCTATTCTTTTAGTTATGTTAAAGGAATATTTTCATATTTTGATGAGTGTTTACTTTCTTATCATGGCTGCCAGATGGGTATTTTAGCATAAAGATTGTAGACAAGGGTGCCAGTACCTTTACCATCTCCAAAGGTAAGAGCAAGACTTCTAACCTTAATGATCATGTAGGCTGTTTGTCCCTACCCTCTGACCTAACATACAATCATCATAGAGGCAGAAATATGCCATAAACTGTTAAAAGTGCTGAAAAATAGATACACTGGCCATTTTTGATGACACAATGCTATCGTAAAAGTATGGTTAAGTTTAAACAGAGTTAAATGTTGAGACTTTTTAGAACTCCTTTAATGACACTAAAAAGTGCCCACAAACATGCTCAACCAGTGTGGTGGTCCAAGTGACAACAACCCAGGGCTTTAAAATGAAGCCAAAACACGAGTGCCAAAAAGTGCAGTTCTTCTAATGGACACATAGGGCTGACTTCACAAGTTTGTCAGTCCCCAACAGGGTCTTATGTTAAACTGTTAAAATAAAAAACATATTTGAGAGGCAACAAAATAGTGTTTGCTTCAATAGACTATAAAGCTATGTCTTCACAGAAACCAGTACAGTGCCATGGTGACCAGACACAGAAATGACACTTGTTGACTTCAAGCTACAGGTGACACAAAGTAAGCGGGTCCTGAAATACACTTTCCTCAACTTGGAGGCAACCAACTGAAGTGATTGTCAATAAGAGTGCCAGATACCACAGATAAACCTATGACCTGGTAGTGAATACATTAGCGGATTACCTAGGAAACTGGAGTCCGAAATGTCCACTGGCGATCAATGGTCAACTTCGAAGAGATACAAGACAAGTGAATCGCTCGCTGTGTGAGTGACAAATGTGCCAATGCAGGCAGCTGGAGCCAATCAGTGTCTGCTAGACCTCATCCATTGCTTCAAGTCATTAAATTCAACTGAATTCATTTTTTGTTTACATGTGGGGTAGCTGTAGCTCTGGTGGTAGAGCAGGTCATCTACTAACTGGAAGGTTGGTGGTTCTGTCCCCGTCATGCCAAATAACATTGGGCAAGATACTAATACAAAGTTCCTCTCCGAGTAACTTGGGATCTGAGTAACTCCCAGGTTCGATTTTGATTTTGTCATTCAAATCAAATTGGTTCTGACTCTGAATAAAAAACCCATCACATCAGAGACCAAAACTCTACTGGTGAACCTTGAAAATGGAAAGTTTATATTGGCTGTGTGGTTATGCATGCTGCAAATATAAAAAACACCTTTGACAAACTACAGTTTGGTTCAGAAGCATTTCCAGACATTTTCTTGTACCATTAGTAGTTATTATTATTATTATTATTATTATTATTATTATTATTATTATTATTATTATTATTATTATTAGCAGGGGGTTCCCTGTTTTCCAGGTGGTCTTGACTCAG